GGCCCCCCCAAGTTCAAAACGGCCACGAATTCCAGCACAGCAACAGCAGAGCATGAACCCCGAGAAGCCAGCCTGTGTCTTTCCTTCACGCCAAAGGCAAGGATTTCAGTCAAGCGCATCTGCTCCTAGGTGTCTAGGAAGCCATACCCAGCTCTGTCCTCCCAGCTCCCAGTGCAGACAAGCTTAGCGAATGTTCCAGCAAGAATGGTGGAGGAGAGACAGGAGTGGTGGGGGAGTAATGGGAATGACAGACTCCTGGCTGGGAAGTCTGGGAGCGTGGGAAGGGGGCGCGTGGGCACGCGGACAGAGGATACTCACAGCTGGTCGAGGGGCTGTCGGTGCCGTCCAGTTCTGCCCGTGGGAAGCTGTGCCCAGAGCGGGCGGTGAGCAGCGCTGACTCGATGGCTCGCTCGTGGGCGGTGAGCGTAATGGTGGGCGCCCGGCCCCCAGCCCCAGGGCCTGACAGGGACTGCTGCATGAAGGCCAGCTTGTCCTTTGTCCTCCGCTTCATGTCATCCCATCTGTGCTTAATGTCCTTGATGGAGCGGGGGACCTGGCTGACGGAGGTGACTTGCTGAGCTATGCCTTCCCAAATCTTGTCCCTGTCGGCATGGGACAGCCGCATGGTCTCCCTCCCAAAGAGCACGGCTTCGTGGCGGGTCACCTCGGTGACCAGAATGTCCAGCTCCTCCTTGGAGAACTTGGGCTTCCTCTTACGCTCGGTCATGGGCACCACGTTCCTTGGGTTGAATATCCCACAAAGCACAATTGGGTAAATGACCATCAAGGTAGGAGGTCCTTCTTCCTAACTGCCAGCCCCCAGCAGGGGAGCCCGGAGGCACCTGGGGCGCCCATGACTTTGTCCTGCTCACCACACCACACCTTCCTCCTACCAACATGAGCAGGAGCGCAGGGCCAAGTGGACAGAGGGTAGGGGTCACCTCAGGCTGCTGAGAATGGGGGCAGCTCGTTGACCCTCTCCTACACAGCCTCATTCTCCTCACCTCTCACAGGAATACTGACCATGGCAACCTGGACGCAAAGGCGTGGTTCTAATTCTGTCCAGTGGGGTCGCTATGCGTCTGAATCGACTCAATGGCAGTGCTGTTGGCTGGGTTTTTTAATCTGCCCTGAGTTTGCAGGAAAGCAGATCGAGGTTTACCTATAGGAGCCTTGAGGGCCAAAGCGTGGGCGAAATAAGAGCACACACATGGGAGACAGTCTCCTGATGATGACAAGCAATGTCTTCAGCTTTCGTCTCCACCACAGCACAGCCCTCTCCTAACCATCCGGCCTGGCACCCACTCGGGACTCCACTCGTCTACCAAACAGTTCCATTCATCCTCTTACTGGGGCCAGAAGGTTTAAAAAATCCACCCCAAACAGGTGCCTGGGGTACATCCAGCCTCTGACAGCTGCCCGGATTGCATTACTGAGACATGAGACACAAAAGCAGGCTGCCTTCACCCTCCACACCATCCGCCCCTACACCTCCATCCTTGGGCCCAGAAGACAGGAAGGAAGGTCTTCACCCAGTCCAAGACAGCAGGGGAAGCAAGGCCTGAGTGGAGACTAGAGGTGGAGTCAAACTTGGTCAACCAGGGACCTCTGCAAGCTGTTTCCTCCTCTAAAGTGAGGACGCCAGTCCTGGTGCAGCTTCCCGGGGCTGCTGCGAGGCTTCTCTGTCTCAGCAGGGTTTACTTATGGTGCTGAGGAGTTTCTGTTGGGAGGGAGGCAGACTGCCCTGTGCAATAGAGGACGCTATTAACAGCCCTGCTCCAACCTGCCAGGAGCCAGTAGCATCCACCCTCAGTCCCCAAGTTGTGACAACCACATGCTTCTCTCCGTTCCTGGCTGAGAGCCACTGGTGTCATGAATGACAAGGGCCTTGCAGAGGGCTACCATCCATCCAGTCAGTGTTCATCCGATCCCCCTTCCTGCCCCACTGCAGAGTGATTTTCCTACTTTTTCAAGGAATTAACTGACTTCATTTGCTAACTCCTAATACCCTAGGCTGTGACAGTGTGAGTGAAGCAACTGTGAACTGTAACCTTTTTTTTTTCATTGCTGTGGAGTTGAAACCCACTCATAGCTAAACATCCGGCGGGTTATAAGGTGGCTGTGAATTGCACAGAAGGAGAATGCCCATATTTCTCCCTCTTAGCTGCTGTGGGTTCAGCCACCAGAGAGGCACAACTTTGGGTTTGCAGGACAACTCCCTTCTGACGACTGGGCCACCCGAGCAAACGGCAAAGAACTATTTCAAATGCAAAGAAACAGTTCTTCAGATGGTGGAGGACAAAGTCCAGATAAATTCACTTCCCCCTCTTTCTGGCCTTAGCAGTATCTCCATGTCAAATGGCTCACCTGGCAGGTATCTCCATGTCAATAAACTGCACCCCAAACTCATCCCACTGAGTCTTCAATGAGATGCAGGTCCCTTCCTCTCAAGCGCCATCCTAGACCAGGGCAGGGCTGGCAGCAGGCGCAGGATGATCCCCTGCCAGCGAGGTAGCGGTAGCAGACCCCACCGCATCGCTGCCCACACACAGCCACAGAAAGATGCACCGTACCTGCTCCTTTGTGCATAAGCAGAAAGAACTCTGGCCTTGAAGTCCAGAGCTGTGGGTTCAAGTCCTTGTTCTGCCACTGTGTGATCTTGAACAAGACCTTGTCCTACTCCAGCCTCAGTCCCCACCCCGCCCCCACCCCCCACCCCGTAGCATAAAGACCAGCCTTGAGAAGCCCTTCTCAACACTTCACGGCACATCAGGATCACTATGGGGAGCTTTAAGTCACACTGGTGCCTGGGGCGTGACCCCAACTCAACCAACCAGATTCTCTTCAGGCATCGAATGATCACATTTGTTCAGAAGACATACTAATGTGACCTTGGCCCCAAGGTGAAAGGTCATGAACTGGGGGTAGAAAGCAGAATGCAGCTTTGAATGAGGCAGTGCCAAAAGGCCTGGCTGCAGGCTGGACGTGTCCACTTGGCTGAACAGCACGCTCTGCTCTGCTGGTCCCCAGGCAGACAGAGCAGTGCAGGCTGGGGGTCTGCTCTGTGCTGCCCATCCAACAGTCTGTCTAAAAGACTCGTGTCCCCACTTCTGTGCCCCCATCAAAATCCTGGCCCACTGAAGGTCCTGTTCAAAGGCTCCCTCCTGGCCTTCTTTCATCTGGTCCCTCACAGCACGTCATCTCTGCCTTGATTCAACAAGCATGTGAGAAGGTTTCCTCTGTGGCAGGTGTGAGCCTGGGGAGCTGTGTGGCCAGGACAGAGGCACCCAGCACAGAGTACAGCAGGTTCTCAGCAAACGGCTGGTGAGTACATTCCTGAGCGGGCCTGGGCCCAGCGGCTGAGAAAGGAGGAATGCAGAGGGCAGTGATGACCACGTCCAGGGCACTGTCTGATCAGACTGGGTGAAATGAGAGCAGAGCCAAGGGGAACGGGTGCTTGTCCCAGATCCCAGGACCAGCCACTCCATAAGGCGGGGCCACTCATCCTTGGCACCTCTGCTTCTGCAACTAAATGGCTCTGAGCACAGTCACTCCAGCAAATGAAAGGGCAAATCAAGAGGCCTGCAGATCATAAACGGCCATTCAGCTCTGCTGGTGACTCTGATGGGGACACATGCGGGCCCACATCCTCACACTGGTGAGGCCACTGAGGACGGGGACAGGACAGTGGTCATCTCCTTGCCACAAAATGCCTCATCTACAAAAAGACAAATATTGCACAGGGCCACTATTGTAAAACGGGCCTGACATTGGGGTTGAGGAAAGAGAGAGAAGAAGGGGAGGAATGATGTATACTGCATTGCAACAGAAGAGAGATCTGTTTAAAAGAGATATATGATTAGGTATTATTGTCATGACAGGAGTCCAGAATGATGGCTGCACAGTGCAATGGACTTGGGGGGAGGGACTGCATAGCAATGAAAGAGTTTTTCTTTTACTTATCATGGAGAAAAGTGAATTGGGGGGAGGGGGTGGGCAGGGAGAAAAGTTCAACAATGAATGACTAGGAACCCTAAGTCTCTGTAAACTTTCATTTAAATTAATTAAAAAAAAAAAGTCTTATCAATTTCTTGGGAAGTCACAGTTTAAATACAGCAAACAGCCCAGGCCAGTCCCTAACTGTGTCCCTCCAAGTATAATTACAGGTCCTCATACCCTGAGTCATGGAACTGCACGGATGCCAACAGAATAATCAGTCAAGGTCCAGTTGGACCCCTGAACCCAGCCATCGCAGATCTTTCCTTCCCTCCAAACCCAGATCCACAGCTCCAGCCACCCAGGAGGCCACCAAGGAGGTGGGTGTGACTTCTCCCACCGCCCACAGACCTCACAGGCTGAATGCTGGCACACCAGGCCTTCGACAGCATAGCATCCTAAGGAGAGCCCCGGGCTCCAGGCTCAGCTCAGCCAGGGGCCCTGGGCCAATCTCTTTCCTCTCTGTACAAACTTCCGTCCCAACCACTAGACCAGGGAAGAACCACACTCAGAAGTGACCAGGCCTGAGTAGCCTGCAGGGTTCAAAACAGATTAAGCTGGAGACTTTTCAGGAAGCTTCCTTTTCTGGAGGAGGGGGGTGGAGTGGGCGGGCAGTCTAAGGAACTGCTGCCCAAGGATGATCCCTCCACAGCTCTGGCCAGAGTCCAGCCCTGAGAGAATGTGCCTAAGACTTGTGACCCAGGTGAAGAGACATCACCCACCCTCCCAGGCCCACCCCTGCGAATGCTACAAGATCCTTGGGTCTGGTTACTCCAGACACACTGCCAGGGTGTCGCCTCCAGGAGTCCCCACTGGCCTGCCACAGATATTCTTTCAGGGCTCCTTGATGGAAGCCTGAGGGAGAAGGATGCTTCTCGGGAAGCACCCCAAACCCTGCACACAGTACTCTGGAGACGTCATCATTGGAGAACTCCTGGTCTAACACGCTCCCCCAGCCTCTTTCTCAGAGGCCAGGCACGAAGTCAGTAGTGGGCAGGACTCACCTCATCCAGTTGGCTTTCGTCTCATCAGACCCATCTATGGACTTGTACCGGTTGTTTTTGTCCACTATCTGGAAGACAGAGAAAGAGAGAGAGTCTAGAATGGGCCAGTCAGAGGGGGATCTCAAGTGCACGGGCTTCAGCCCAACCCAGGACCCAGGGTCTGGCTGCAGTCACTGTCCATTCCCTCTGTCATCACCCCAAAAGCCTCCCATTGCTGCAGAACTAAGACCCCGTGGCCAGGAATTCCTGCCACCTCGTCTCAAGCCATCCCCATTCTAGGGATGCTGGGGGTGGGGCTGGGGGTGGTGAAAACTCTTCCCATGTGTTTTGAATTCCTGAGAGATTTGAGGCAGATGGGTGGAACCATATCCTTCCTCTGTCTTGATGGAACACCCAGAAACATGGCTAACAGACAGCATTTCCCATCCCATCTCACTGCAATGAGAACTATAGCCAGCCCTTTCTCTCGCCATGGAGTCCTCAGAGGCCAGCACTCGATGGCTGAGCATACAACATAAATGCAATTAGAACGTAAAATGTTTGCGAGCCCAAGGCTTGGGGTTGGATCACTTTCTCTTCTGTGAAAATGTCTTTATTTTAGTTTCACACTTGAATCACAGTTCTCCTGGGTGTGAGACTGGATTTCATTTTCCACCAGTGCTTTGAGGATGGCCTATAAAAGCTGCCATAAATGCCTAAAAAAATCTCCTGTCAATCTAATGTCATTCATTAGTGGATAATATGCTTACAGGAAATTTCAAGACTCCCCTTAATTTTCTGTAGTTTTACTATGTTATTTCAAGGTGGGAATGTCTCTGTTTTTTAAAAAGTCTCCATTATTTGGTTAGTACTTTCAAGTTGAGGACTTACGTCTGCTTCAATTTTAGAAATTTCTCAGCTCTTACACTTTTAAATACAATTTCCCAGTTTTTTTCCCCCCAGTCTATCCTTTTCTATTAAACATATATAGAAGCAGCTCAATCTATTCAACACCTACTTCAATTATCTTTTCAAGGTTTTCCCTCTTTATTTATCAGCTCTGGCAAAATGTCTCAGAACTCTCTTCCAATTCACTAATTCTCTCTTTGATGGTGTCTACTCTGGAGTTATCCTATCTTTTCATGTTTTTCTTTTTTCTTTTCTTTCTTTCTTTTTATTAAATGAGTATATTTAATTCACTGAGTATTCTCATTCCAAGAATTTTTGTGTCCCCCCTCCCCAGATCCACCTTAGCTAGCAGTCAAGTGCTTAATTAAACATTTGTGCCACCCAGGGCCTGAACAGATGTTAGCACACTGGTTAGCATTTATAAAAAGTCTAACAAATCTAAAAGCATAATGAAACCTGTAAAAAGGTCACAGTTGTCCAAGAACTAACTTTCTTCTTATTTCAAGAAAATACAGCAATGGAGTTGAAGAAGCTCTCTACCTCCACCTCCTCCTCCTCCCTCAACAGAAAAGATCATCATCTAAAGTTGGTGAGGAGTCCTCCCGTTTTCATTACCCACGGATATTTCTTAAAACAATGTGCAGAACTATCTGCATGTTTGCAAAGTTTACAGAAAGGGTACCCCAACGAATATAATCTTTTGTAGTTTTCTACCACTAAAATATCCATGGCTTGTCCCTTCTCATCATTTAAGACTCATCTTGTGTAACTTTCTTTAAAAGTCTTCTCTGACCTGATCTAAATCTAAAGTGAATTTTACTGTCCTAGACAAAGACATTCCTCTAGGTCGTATAGCCCTGGTGTACAAGTTGCAGTCCCGCGGTCACTTGTGGTTGTTGTGAGGCTGAACACTGTGACACGGATGTGTCAAATGCGTTAATGGTTGGCTACCCAATGTGGACTGAGAGTGGGGTGGAGCTTCCCGATTGAACAAGCGTGGAAGGAGGAGTGGCATCCACTTCCATAATAGCTTGCCTCCAGAAACCCTATGAACTTGGAGAGAGGATGAAAGGCACCCAAGCGTCAAGGACTCTCCTTCATAGGGTCGCCTGCAACTCGACGGCACTTAACAACAACAACAACAACATATCCAGATGTCCACCACCTCTTAGAATATTATTCTTTAATATATTTCCCTATTATTTTCAAACAGAGATCAGTTTATAAGGCACATTCTTGTTGTAGGTGGTGGTTACTCTTTGTTGATTGGATAATTGGAAATCTCCCTCGCTAGACTATGAGCTATAAAGACAATGCCCTCTGATCATGATGGTGTTGCAAACCTTTCTTAGTGTGTGGTATACGATGGAATAACGGCCAAATGACAGAACGAGTAAATATTGCTTGAAGTAACAAGGGATGCTGAGATGAAATACTTCGTTAGAGAAGAATTTACCGTGTAATGCTAATCGTGTCAATATTTTGGTAAGGCATGTCGGTAACAACTTGCACTAACTTACAAGAGGTGAGTGCTGGGTTTTTAGGAAATGTAACGAGCTGGTTGTTAAGTACAAGGAGCTTTAATGGCCGAGTCCCTAGGATGTTGTGCTGCTGACCCAAAGGTGCAGTGTCTCCAGTGGTTCAGATCCACTGGCTGTTCCACAAGCGGAAGCCGGACAGTCTCCGTCCATCCATTATGATTTACTGCCTCAAAAAAGCCAGGGCGGGTCAGCTACAAGTCAGAACGGAGGACACATATCCAGCCCCTACTATAGCACTATGAGCAGAGGGTTAAACATTTACCAGGACACCACCGCGAATGCGAACGCATTTACATGAGAATAGGAAGCCTGGGGATGACATATCTTTCAACTCCTGTTACTTGTAGAGGCTGAGTAACTGGGTTGTTGTTATTGTCATGTGCCACTGAGTCCCTTGCAACTCCTAGCAACCCTATGTACAACAGCCCTGAAATCTGCTCTGTCCTGTGCCAATCTGTCTCAGACACACCCATCCCGATTACCCCAGTCACTGAATCAATCCACCTCATAGAGGATCTTCCCCTTCTGTGCTGTCTCTTCACCCTCCCAAGCATGATGTCCCTCTCCAAAGACTGGTCCCTCCTTACAACATGTCCAAAGTATGTCAGACAAAGCTTCAGAATCCTTGCCTCCAAGGAGCAGCCTGGTTTAACCCTCTCCAGGATGAATCTGTTTGTTTTCCTAGCAGTCCACTCTTTTCCAGCACCACAGCTCAAAGGCATCAATTCTCCTTCTATCCTCCCTAGTCATTGTCCAACTCTCTGATGCATAACAAGTGATTGCAATGAAACCATACAGACTACGTTTGACTTCCGGACACCCTCCCTTGCTACTGCCCCATCAGCAGTGACCTTCACACAGAGTTTTATAGCACCTTGCACTTATCAGAATACTCATCACCATTGTCATAACTTCATCTTGCTTGGATCCATAATCCATATCCTTGGTACCAGAAGCCAGAAAATCAAAAGACATATTATATTGGGAAAGTCTGTTGTCAGGGACCTCTCCAAGTGCTGAAGAGCAAAGGTATCAGTTTGAAGACTAAGATATGGCCGATCCAAACCATGATCTTTTCAATCACTTGCAATGCATCTGAAAGTTAGACAATGAATAAGGAGGACAGAAGAAGAATCGATGCCTTTAAGTTGTGGTGCTGGAGAAGACCGATGAGTATCCTGTGGACTGTCAGGAGGACAAACAAGTATGTCTTAGAAAAGGTGCAGCCAGGCGAGCTCTGGTGGCCTAATGGCAAGAAGCTGCACTGCAATCCCAGAGGTGAGCAGTTTGAATCCACTAGATGCTCTGCTGGAGGAGGGACAATCTCCTCCTGTACCAGTCAGATCCGATTTGACGATACACACACAGAAAAGAAAAAGAAAGAAAAGTTGCAACCAAAAGGCTCCTTGGACGTAATGATAGTGAAACTTCATATTTGACATATTTTGGGCATGTTAGGAGGTTGGTAAGGTGGAGGGTCAGCAAAGAAAGGAAGAATCTTCAATGAGATGGCTTGACACAGTAACTGTAATGGTGGCTCGAGTGTGTCAAGAGATATTGAAGATGGCACAGGTCAGGGCAGGGCCCAGAGCCATGGTTTATAGTATTGTTTCCTGCATATGAGTCCTGTCCAGTTGGGCTGCGGGCACATCCTCTCAAAGCTCTCAGCTCAAGGGAGATGGGGAGAGAACCCATTATGATAGTTTGTGGCCAGTACTGTGATGGGGGACTGCACAATTACAGGGACTCTCAGCTAGAGCCTACACCTTGGAGGCTTCTTGGGGGAGAAAAAGTCTAGACTAAGATCTTTGAGAAGAGGGACCAGTGTGGTTCTAGGGAGGGATGGAGACAGGCTCACACAGGCCCTGCAGACCTCACTACACGTCACAGTGATCCCAGGACACTCTTAAGTGGAGAATGAGCTGTGAGCTTTCTGCCCCAGGACTGTCCAGATAAGTCCAGGTGTGACCAGCACATACCAGATGCTTTGCACCAGGCCCCAGAAAGCTGGTCTCGCAGCACCTGCCTATTCCTGAACCCCTGCCTTGACCCTCAAGCTTGACTCTTTGGCCCACCTATACACACCAGGCTTTGTGAATCAGTTCAGGTTTGGTTCATTCACAAAGTGGACCGGACTAGAAATGGGCAGCCAGCAGGGTGAGGGGTCACTATGCTATCTGAGGAATATTCTAGAGAATGGGTGGGGCTCCTTTTGTTCAGAGAAGTCGTCATAGAGAGAAAAGCCATCATCTGGAATGGTTCACCATGTGGGGGAGATGGGACCAGGACCAGTACACTCTTTGGTGGAAACGGGCATGAACTTAGCCGAAGGAGTAACTGTCTAACAGATTAGTTTTAGGATAGGATAGGGGAGCCTATCATTAGAGGTTGGGAGAGTCTTGTTACTAGGAGCATTTACACAGCAGAGTGTTGATCCATACTCAAGGAAGACTAAAGAAAGGATTTTTTCCCTATTTATTGAAAAATCTTTCCAAAATAACCTTTAAAATTCTGTCTAAAACTAAGACTGTAGGATTGGATGCAGGCAGGCAATCATTTAAAAGCATTAAGCTGCCTTTGGTCCCTTGGGGTTCAGCAAGGTTCATGGCATCAGAGTGTTGTTTCAGACCACACCAATG